AAGGTATGGCATAGCTTTGAATCATTGGACAGAGCGACGACTACATGTACTGTAGCCTAACTATATCCCTAACGTTATATACATTACTCGGAGTAGGTAATGTTAGTACTGTAGTGATCACGGATGGGAGGTCATGTATGTGGCCATAGCTCCTTCAGTTTCATTGCGTCAAGCACCTTGACATGTTGACGTAAAGCAAGTTATTTGCCAGAATGAAAACGGCAAACAACTTGTTTTACGAAAGTGCCAGTAAAACCACCTTCAACCAACCAAACATCGCATTAGATGAAGTAACTTTAAACAACGCACCCAACCGTTATTCAAGTTACTTTAGACATTATTTAAGCCTGAGAAATTTTTAAACAATGAATTTAACCCTGGAATTGCCAAAAAAGGTGCAAAGCACAATACTTGTTAGATTTTTGTTTTGAATTTTGGTGGGACATCTGTGTATCACGTTACACTCATGGCTTAAATCATCGGTCCAACTCCAGGACCTCTCTATCTTAAAACAAAATATTTTTGTGCAACTGTCTGGCACTACCATACAATACCATAGATATATAGAATGTCAACTGTGGGCGAGTTCACCCACGGTTCTCTGTACTTTTGGCACTTATGGATTTCAGGGGTTTACACTGTTAGCTGTACTACTTACTATTAATAGTTCGAAGTACTGACTGTAAGTTCATGTTGGGACGTTATTATTAATAACTGTCGACGAAGTTTAAAAACTCCAATACTTCGAAGTACTACGTAGTACTTTTTAAACTTCGTAACACGGGTGAAACAATATGCGGGATATAAACAGGGAACACGAAATAAACTGTTTCGTAAAGCCAAAATATGCAATTTTCTGTACTTGGATTATGTATACATATTTTGGTTTTACGAAACATGCTTATCCGGAAGATAATTGCCACAGTGTAGGTCGCCGCCACCAACGAGGCAACTTGCAACACTGGGACGGTGCTGCATGGTGGAGACAGCAGAAAGATATCTCCACCATCCAGTACTACCCCAGCGTCGCCATCCCCGCACTCCTCCAAGCCCAACGCAATAGTGTCAGCCATCAACCATCTCGTTCGACACTGCCGCCAGGTCGAGAAGGATATAAGAATCGTGGTCATGCTCGCGACGCCGGATTGGTGCGGCGTCGCAAGCATGGCCACGATTCTTATGACGTTCTCACTGATCACTTGCATCCGCCTCGACCCCGTCGCTCAATGTGTCCCAGTCCATAGCACTCTCCTCCCACCTTAGTCCGGTCCGAAAACTCAGCTCCAACATTCACGCACGTGCGCTTTGAAGTGTGAATGACATAGTGCTGCAGATCTGACATTTGCAGAACGAGTTGGATGCGCGGTAATCTCCGCGTCAGATCTGCAGCTTTAGATCATTCGCACTTCTAGTATCCAAGTCTATGTCCCTAATGCGGCCGTGTTACCATCAACGACTGCATGTACCCATGTCTTTAGACGTGGCAAACACCACCATGCGACAATGTCGAGTTATCTACGACGATGATTGGCCATCAAACGCATGTGCTGTAGCTTGTAGTAGGTGGTTTGTGGGTTGTGTGTTGAGCCAACATGTAAGGCAAGAAATCATACCGCAACTAAGCTTAAGTTAACGTTATCAATAGAAGTCGAGATGAGTGAGACTTGGTCAAGTGGTTTTCAACGATATGCAAGCCTGTGTTATTGTCGGCACTCATTACACCTAGCTCAAGCACGTATAAGTTATTAAGCAACATACTGGTAGTTCCTGCAGCCCCATGCATTTGTGCCGTGCTTCAATTTCCCTTGTGGCTAAAGGATCTGGGCACAAATTTCTCGCACCAGTGTCAATTTTGAAGTCCTCAAGTTGAGATTGTGTGTATAACTTCAGAATGATGGTTTTAATAAGCTTTTATTGACTATACAAAACTACTGTGTTTCGTGAATTTGTTTCGTAACGTTAGAGGGGTTATTATTATAGAATTCTGGACGTCTCGTAAATAGCCCCTTCTGATTGGTGTAATTCGACACCAATCAGGGACCAGGAATGGTGTATTCCACACACAAGTCGTTGATCGTTCTGGATGAGCTGGGCTCGGACGGTGCTCTTCGCCGTGGCCGCCGTTGGCGTTGCGACGGGCACTGTCCTTGTGTACAGATATGCTACACGAGGTCTTGGAGGAGACCGACCTCAGGACGAGGAAGAGATTCCGCATATTGGCGATACTACCTCCCGACATGAGTCGCAGGCGACATCGCCACCTCCGACAACGCCCTTGCCTTCCGACGAAGTACACACGAGCGCCATTAGCGCCACAGAGAGCGACGAGTCTTTATTGCCGACGACGGACGAGCGATTGGAGATGGATCGACTGGTGGTGCAGGAAAGCAACATGCTGCTGTCGTTGTTTGGGGTCGTGTTCCTTGCGATTGTGGTGGTCGTGGCCAGCGTTGTCGTGTTGACCAGCCACGACATCCCATCCATCATGCACGTCGAAATGTTTCCGCCGCTCTTCTTTGTTGGTGTCGGCATCGTCGCCGGTACGCCGACCAACACAATCATGACACGATCTCCCAACATAACAACTGTCTGTCTTCTTCCTCTAGCGTCGTTGATCCATGCCGTCAACCAGCGCAGCTTGGTGTCGACGTTGCCGCCGCCACTGTTGACCGACAAAGCAACTCCGTGCTATGACGCCAGCACTCCAACCACACCTGGAAGCGGCGACCATCCGTCGACCTCGAGTACATTGCCTTCGGATAACGTTCTGACTTATACCATCAACATCATCATCGCAACAACTCCCTTTGTATGACGTTGTATAGGTGGCAGCAATGGATCACCGTCGTGGGCAGCGAAAGCCCCATCGCCGCGACGGAATGTCACCTTTGAAACCGACGCGGCTGCCGCGTCGCAACCATCATCATCCACCCCCCTTCCTCCCGCGGCGGTAGCCCCTTTGCCGGACCACGCGGCGCTCGTGGCTAAGGCGGATGAGCTGTACACCCAAGGAAAGTTTCAACCTGTCAAGGCGTTCCTGGATGAAAACTTGAAGTATTACCCTCAAAGCATCGACTTGGTACGAACCGTTTACGAGACCTCGTGCGTGCAAGCATCCGATTATATGAAGTTGTTGGCTCATCTTATTTGTATTGCCTTTCTTTTACCCAAAAGTTGGTTGACTTTGTGCTGATTTTTCGCCAATTCTATCAATCGATTCTTTGACTTTTGTATGTCAAGATCGTCCAGTATCACACTAATTTCAGTCGCACACTGCTTTCGGTCGAAGAGCAAATCTGATTGGCCACATGACGAGTGTTGTGGGTTTTGATTGGTCGATATATCGATTGTCTGCCGATTTGGTGTGATTTTGCTCATTCGATTGAGCACACACCCTACTCCAATTTCGAATATATCGACTTATAATATATAGTTGTGGCGAAGTGCGCGTGCGTGTCAAGACATGACGACCGAGACCACGGACGTAGCCGCAACAAAAGCCCTCGTGTTTGAGGTAACAAACACACGATCGTTTGACTTTCCATAATAAAGTCAAGAGAATGACGTGGCAGCATGACAGGGCATGACATTTGCCGAACGCGCGTACGAACTCCGCCCAAACGACGCGATGACCAACAAGTGGATGGGCATCATGCTGAGCTCCGTGGGCAACTACCGCGATACATCCGAAAAGATCAAGGGCGCGTTCAAAATCAAGGTCGGAACAACCTGTCCACGTCGGAATGTCACGAGGACCAATACTGTAGAACTTTATTGAACGGTCGATTGAACTGAATCCGAACGATGCGACGGCGCACAACATTCTCGGCCAATGGTGCCTCGCGTTTGCCAACTTGGGCTGGCTGGAGAAACAAGCTGCGACGATGCTCTTTGGCCGACCGCCCACGGCGACCTACGAGGACGCTGTGCGCCACTTTCATGATGCTGGTATATATATATATATATTAAAGATATATATATATATTAATATATTAAAGAGATATATATATTAATATATTAAAGATATATTAATATATTAAAGATATATATTGATATATTAATATATTAAAGATATATATATATATATATATATATATATATATATATATATACCACGATCGAACAACGGGATGACTCGTCTTGTAGAGCATGTGAGCCCTGGGTTTTGGAAGAAAAACGTGTACTTGCTTGCGGATACGTATGCGAAGATGGGAAATGTGGTTGAAGCCAAGCTATGGCTGGCAAAAGCGGATGCTGTGCCGGTCAAGACGACAGAGGACAAGGAAGTGCAAGCTCAGATTGAAACACTCCGAAATGCGTTAGCGTAGGAATTCCCACGATAATGGATACATGATCGCACCGATAAGACAATTGAGAGTTCATGACGTGGATGGAGTTTGGGTTAAACTACTACCGGCGACGGTTCATGGCACCTCCACCAAGCCGCTGGCCAGCACCTGCGTTGGCAAACGACCGCGACTGCCTCAGCGCTTCCTGCAAATCGGGGTCGTCATCATCGTCATCGTCATCGCTGTCGTCTTCGGGAAGGGGGCCACGGTTGCGGATCTGCTGCTCGAAGTGCTCAGTGGTAAGTTGGCCCGCCAGCCGCTTGGCCTTCGTATTGAACACCGAGTACGCGCTGGGAATGGACACGGCCCGCCCATGCTCGTCAACGATCACGGAGTCTTTCTCTTTGTCCCCAAGGTTGGCCACGATCAAGGTGAATAGCGATGCAATGATGTACAAAGTCACCAAGTCATGTCCTCCGCTCCACACCAACCCCGCCGTCCAGATTGCAAAGTACACAGTGTACTTCAACGTTTGCCATGTCAGAACGCTGCGCAGCTGGGCAAGGGACGGACACAGCGCTTTGATCTCCACCCAAGTCTGTTCGTTTACGCGGAGGAAGGGTGGAATGAACGGCGTCAACGCGGCAACTATGCCGTTGTACCCCATGGTGTGTTGATGATGTTCTGCGCGTGGCACTGTTGATTGGCTAATTCATTGTGGCACAGTAACGTTTTATTGGTTTAAAGTCAGCTCAGAATACTGAGAATCAGCCAATGGGATCATTTTTTGAACCAAGCGCCTTCTACATACAATATCATGAGCGTTGGGCTGGCAGTGACAGGACACTTGGAAGCCGACGGGAAATCCGTGCGGTTCTACGTTGAGATGCAAAGCGACGCTTTCCGCTTCAGCTTGAACGGGCGATACTCGGAACTGCGCCAGCTGCACACGACCCTCCTGCACACACTTCGCGCGCTGGACAAGTCCCTCGTTCTGCCATCGTTCCCGCCCAAGCACGTCCTCGAGGACATGCGCCGTCGAACGAAGATTGCGCAACGAGAAGCAGAACTCTTCGAGTACTACACGCTTGTGGCCACAAACTCCATCGCGGTGGACTGGCTGGCGTCCCAGTATGCCGCTCGATCCAATTTGGCACCAGAGGACAGGGTGAAAGACGGCGTCGAGTTCACACCTCCCCAGGCCCTGAAGCAGCGAAGTTCTCGTCGAAGTCGACGAAGCACCAACCAACCATCGCTGATGTAGTACAGTACTAGCGAAACGATATTAAATATACTAATTTACTGCCCACATGCTACTACTCCTCGGCACGCTAGTCCGCCACGAGCTGCTGCGCGTCTTCTGAGATGCCTTCGTTGTCTGCGTTGTCGTCGTCCAGAAACTCGTCTTCGTATTCGAGCGGCACGTCGGCCGCCAGCCGCCTGTCAGTATCGTCTTCGTCGTCCAAGTGATCCATCACCGATTCGATCAAGTGGCGGTCGGACGTCGAAGGTACGTCGTCTTGGCTTGACGTGTTTGGCGCTTGCGACGGTGTCACATCTTCGTCGTTGGGATACTCGTTATCACGTGGCGTGGGGATGACGTTATACAACGACGTGTCGTCATCGATAACGTCACCAGTGTGGCGACGAGTGGGGTCAGTTTCCACGGGTCGATCCGTAGAAGTTGGCGTAGTGGTCCTGCGTGGGGTGCTATGGCGGAATGCGTGCTGGATTGTACTTGCAGCGTCGTTCAAATTCACCTCTTGCGCGGCCACATAAGCCGATGCAGCGTTGATCGCCTCGCCCCCAGTGTGCACCTTGCCGTTGGCACTTGAGGAAGTCGTTGCTTCAGCCATGTTGTAGTGGGTTGTAAGGCTTGAGGATCCATCGTCGCCGCCTTCGTGGGGGGTATCATAGGATGTCGATGGTTTCTTGGCATCTTGGACTGGACGCCGTGCACCTTCAGCTTGTGGCACATGGTCATCTTGATTCATCGAGTCGTGCTCATCATAGGCTCGAGTAGGATGCGACGAGGACGTTGACGGAATCAATTTGTCGTCGCCGTCTCCAGGCTCAGAGTACACATCGTCGTCCCCGGCAGCTTCTGCTTCTCCAGTGGCATCAGACGCGAGAGACGGCCGTACGAGAGGGTTTTGAATGGCACTGGCCGCTTGGTTCTGTTGGGTCGACAGGTTCATGGGGAAGGTAGACCATGCCTCGGCAGTCGCATCCGTGCTGGGCTGTGTGACTTCACATTCGTCAATCGCCCGAGGCGTGGAAGGAATTGACCGCCTAAACGCGCTTTGAATGGTGGTCGCCGCCGCATGCTTGTCTGCTTCGTAATCCAAGGGGGGGACTGGCGTCGGAGCGTTGCGCTCGTGGCCACTTTGTACCACATCGGAGGGGGCGTCCGCGCCGCCAAGATCTTCATGTACCGATATCAAAGCTGATGTGTCGTTTGAGGGGTGACCATTTCCCCTCACGATCGCATCACGAAATGCTTTCTGAATCGCCGCCGCCGCGGCATGCCGCTTCTCGGTGGGCATTTCCGAAGTTGCTGCGCCTATCTCGATGGTCGACCCGTTAGGTGACACGGCCGAGCCGTCGCTGGAAGCAACATTCGAGTACGGGGTATCATCTGCGACATCGTCGTCGTCGTAGTTGTCGTCATATGTACCCTCGTCATCATGTTGTGCGATTGGTTTCGATCCAGCCATGGACGACCGACGGTATGCCTTTTGAATCGCAGAGGCCGCGGCCGTTTGCTGGGTGGCCTCAGCTTTGATTGGGTGAGGAGAAGCGCCATTCAATTCTGAATCCGATATACTAGGTGAAATTTTGCCCTCGCTTTCAGCGACTTCCGAGTACATATCGTCGTCGTTCACGTCGACGGCCGATGTTGGCGCGGAGGGTGCATTCCCACGGGATGATGCTGCTGACGACGAGTGACGGAATGCGTTTTGGATGGCGGTGGCGGCGACGGTATGTTGCACACTGTACCCCTCTGCAACTTTCGGACTTGGTGTGCGCTTGCCGTGGGGGGAACCTGGCTGAGAATTCTCGTCGTCGTTGTCTTCCTGTCTGGGAGAATCGATTTTCATATCGTTGTGATCGACTAGCGTTGAGTTGGGGATAACATTGAATGCGTCATTGGATGCACTAGGGGTGACCTGGCCTTCGCTCTCGTCTGGTGCTGAGTACCCATCGGAGTTGTTCGACCACATTGCCTCATTGTTTGAAGAAGACGGCACCAACAGGGATTCAGACGCGCTGGGGGTCACCTCCCCATCGCTTTCAGCAGGTTCAAAATACGATTCGTCGTTGGTATTGTCAATACATGGCTCGGCTGTAGCGGTAGTTTCCCCCAAGAATTTGACCACCGACTGACTGGAAGAGTTTTGCATGTTGCTTTCTGCGGGCATTGCGTCCACGATGACAGCTTTACCCCCGCTCTCCACGTGTGTCGCTTGTACTTCTGTGATCTCTAGACTTGCTCTTTCACCTGCTGGACGTTGTTCCGTTGTTGGCCCAGAAACTGCAGTTGTTGTCGTCGTCGTTGACCGACGATACGCTTTTTGGATGACGGACGCAGCTTTGTGCTCTGCCTCGACTGGAATTCTGGTCGGTGCTTCTCTCGAAGTGCTGCTACCCAGCGAAGAGCTTGACAACAACGACTGCGCCACAGCGTCTTGCCCCCCCACCAGTGTATCTTGGAGCTTGTTACGCGACGATTGTCGGTGCTGTTGTTTCTTCTTCGTTTCGCGGTGCAACTCCATCGAGTCTCGTCGGCGCGAGTATACTTTGTAGAGTTTTTGAATCTTCAGCGCGGCAATCTCAGTCAACACGTCCCCTTCTTCGTCGACGTCGTCGTCGTCCTTGTCATTGAGTTTAACAGTCTCGTCACGCCTTTCATCTTGACGAGGTGTTGCCTTTGTCTCAAACGCCATCAGCGCCTCGAAGTCTGCATCGTCCATATCATCGTCATCCGGTGGCGAAGAAATGTCGGCGACAGCAGCGCGGCCTCCGCCGTTTAAAATACGTTCAATGTCGGTCGTGTCTTTTGAATCATCGACGAGCGAGTCGTCGTCGGCCGTTGCGGGGGCTACAACTTGTGGAAGCGAGTTTGAATAGGGATTGTTGGATATTGGGGCTTCCGAGAGAGAAGTTGTACTTGTTTCCAGCTTACTGGACTTCACCGCATCAATTGTTGCGGGGGCTGACATCGTGGACTTTGGCGGCTCAGTGGTGGAGGCCACGGTTAGAATAGCCACAACTGGGACCGTCGGCGCCACCTTGGTCTGCAACATCTCGAGCCCCAATGGTTTCTCCAGAGGGGGAGGCGATGGAATTTCGGGTTCCACCAGCTCCGCCATCATGCATACTGTCAACGGCAAGGGAGGGACAACTGGCGTAACAGACACTGGAGGGGGTGCAGTAGCTTTCGTCACCGTTGGCCTTTTGGCCGAAGTGGGCTTGGGGGAGACGACTACTGCTGTGTGTTCACTCTTCAGAGGGCGTTGCGGTGTCGACAAGGAGCGGCCTGGGGTGCTGATAGGGCGGCTGCGACTTGCAGACAGCGGCCGTCCGGCAGATTTAGATGGCGGGGGTTTTGGAGTCGTCGGGTCGGCCACGACAACCGGACGCGCCGTCGGTTTGTTGGGGGAAACAACCGCGCTGGGTTGTTTGGGCTTGGGTTGGCTCTTGGCTGCGACGGTGATGGCCGCCAGTTCCCGTTCCTTGGCCAAAATGTACGCCTTGAGCACTTTGGTTTCCTTATCCAGCCGCTTCTTGTCGTCGTTGAGGGCTAGCACAACCGTGCGCAGCCGTTTCACGGCCTTTTGAGCCGTGCTTTCTGATCGATCTTCCAGTTGTTTGTAGCACTGGGCTAGTTCTCGGTCCCTGTCCTCGACCTTGGCCTCGGTCAACTTCAATTCCATCGACAGTTGCGCCAAGGTTTCCTCCATTTCCATCACACGTGTGTGTTTGGTGCTGGCCTTGAGATCGTTCACCGTGTCTTCGTACGCGGCCAACGTCGTTGCTTGCTGATCAATCTTTTCCCGCAGTTTTCCCAGCATGTGGTTGTATGCGCGCTCGCGGTTGGCCAATTCGCGCTGGTACGAGTTGTACGAGCCATGTTGGGCGTGCAAGGCCAATGCTTCTTCCAACTTCTTGTCCTTCATCGCTACCACCTAACACCACCAAACACGGTTCAAAGTAATTTCGTAGCAGATGTTGTACTGTACCTGCTCGAGCCGACGACAGCGCGCCGCCATCTTGCTTCGTTTGTCCGCTTCTTGATGCAGCTGAAACTTGAGTGCATGGATGGTGTCTTGCAGGGATTCAGTGTCCCCCTTGTACGTGTTGGAGGAGACGCGCCCCCCGCTAGAGTTACTGCCGAAGGACCCATCGTGAAACAAGTGCTTTTTCACTGGTCGAGTGTCTCGGCCCACGTCGTTGTAGATTTGACGCACGCGATCACTCAAATACTCCTCCGCTCGTTTTCGCCTCAAATCTTGTTTGGTAATCACTGCAGCCTGGTCTGGACTTGCATTGGTGGACTGCGGGGCGCCATAGGTCGTGAGGAGCCTCGTGTGGGCACTGCTGGGGCGGTTCGGACGGGAGTCTACGACTCCGACGCTGCCACTCCCTCGCGAAGGGGGCACTTCGACGCGCGCGGTGGCAGGGCGACTATCACATACCAAATGGTCACAAATACGATGAAATACAGTGACTTGCGTGGGGTCGTAGGTGCTTCTGAGGGTGGGGGATGCCGTGGGGGAGGCGACCTGCGCTTGGGCGATGATGGCCTTTTGCGGATACGCCTGTCGGATGTTGACTTGGCTGCTGCTTCGGCTCATTGCTTGCGGCACCAACCGTAACGACTTCGATGACAAGGTAGTAAGTACCCCAACAGTGTATTTTAAGCAGCGAAACCGTGATGTTTTTCATTCGCATAGTTTAGAATCTATCGTCCATTGAAATCATAATCAACCAAGCAAGCTTGCACACCACCTACATGTACAACATCCGGTCACCGAATCTTCCAGTGTTGTCCAAAGAAAATCCTGCGATGAAGCACGCGAATAGGATTCGTCTATCCAATTCTACTGATTCCACGACAGTCCTACGTTTTATGTACTTTTCGTAATTGAGTTATACTCCTGTAGTATGCGACGTACGTTCATCGCTTCAAGCCCACAACACCTAATAAGCTATCGGCATTGGATATGTCGCATTGCGGGTCGTTATTATTTGACGCTACTGGTAGTACAAATCTTGTCGGGGTGCTGGGCGTCAACACAAATCGTGTATGCCACGCCCCCCAACACTCCCCCCAAACAAGGTGCCACAATAGGTATCCACCAGTACCCTTCGTTGATTGTAAACGCACTCGGCCCCCACCCTGCCAAAAGCGCAAAGACTCGGCACGCTAAGTCGGTTGCTGGATTCACTGCGTACCCTATAACCCACCGCGTTATATTATATCCATACAGTGCAGCTTCGTACCAGTATTGAGCCCAAATGCCATGCCAATGCCGACCACAAGGAGGCCCGTGGCGGTGGGAATTCCCAGTGCATTCATATGGGGATTTGATGGATGTCCGATTGCAAGGACTCCTACGACCAGAAACGCAGCACACAGCACCTACAGTCCGTTCCGCGCAAGCCATTCAGTAACATCAGAAGAAATTCTCCGACAGCACATACCTCGGTGACAAACGCGGACAACAACGTCTCGGTGGTTTGAGGACCAGATACAAAGATACGCCCGGACTTAGCCATGGTAAACTCGGGGTCGTATTGCGTTAACGCCGGATAATACATGAGAAACACGACCCACGCAGCGCAAAATGCCCCGCTCAATTGGCTGAGACAGAACCAAGGGAGCTTGCCCCACGGGAGTTTGCCCAAGACGCAAAACGTAAATGACACGGCCGGGTTCATGTGGGCACCGCTGATGGCACCGCCAACGTGGATACCCAGCATGACAGCAATGCCCCAGCAGAGCGTAATGTGGGTGTAGTTGCCGTGCTGACCGTTCGACAGAGTGACTTGCGCCCCTGACCCCCCTCCAAACCCCATCATAACAAACGTCGAAAAGAATTCCGAAATGCATTCGCGGCCAAGAGGCGTCCGGAGGCGACACCGACGTTGGAGGAACGTGACAAGGGATGGTTCATCTTTGGAGTTTGGCACGATCACATCGGTAGTGTCTGACGAGGACGTCGAGTTCTCTGGACGGAGGGGTTGGTCATCCTTGTCGTCGGGGAACACTTGTGTCATGCTTTCAGCAGCCGTGACGAATGTGGACCACAGCAGCTAAATATAACTCGCTTGGCTCCGTGAAACGCTCGCACTTTGGCTGGCGAGTTTGAGTCCATTATTTCTTACAGTATCTAAGCTCTATTGCTAATTGTAAGCAAAAGCAGCTATCAATCAACCTTTTGTTTGTTCACCAAGCCAGCCACGTCGCCGCCGCCTTCCAGTGGCGTCAGCCAGCGGTCGAGACGGACCTTGGCCAACATAAACACAGCGAACGATGCAATCAAGTAGATGCGAATGTGGTCCAGCAAGTGCAACGTGACCAAGACGTGGCACAACCTGGGGTGGCTTGACGTCGTCGCACAATACGTGGCCCCAACGTCACTCGGCACTGTGACTGTTGGCCATCCAAAATCCTCGATGAATTTCGACAACGACGGGTTCTTCAAGTCCACAGCGGGCAAGTACTCCTTCACGAGCGTCTACGGCATTGTACCGATGAGCTACTGTAGTCCAAACATCCAAACTCTCGGATGATGTCGGATGGTATTACCCGGGTCCACCAAGGCGATGACAAAGAACCATTGGCGCTTGAGTTGGTAGTAGTTGCGTGATTAACTTTCAATTGTGGAAGGTCGCGTGCCCACGACGTGTTCCACCGGGTAAAGTCGTAGTGATACAGCTGCGCACGGACAGCCTACACCTCAACGTTAGAGAGCTGAATGTAGGACGTAGAGTACATTGGGTGGGGTCGCAGTCGAAAACGGGGTTTTAGCCAAATCCAGCGACTGGATGGCTGCAGGCGATCCCTGCAATATGTGGCAAAATGAGTACGCGTCAAGTATTATTGGTGGGTCGCTCGTACATGCAACAACTTGGTGACGAAATGAACAAGCCACGGGTGTTCGCTGTAGTTGCCTTTGGCGGCTGCGGCCATAAGCCAGTCGATCCGGCTTTGATGGGGCGCCACGAAGGTTGGCGCTACATGGATCTACACAGCAGCAAGATAAATCAGAAGATTCCGAAGAATAGTCACTGTAGCATGTTTAAAGTAAACTAACGTACATTGCCAGGCTTGTGGCGAAAGTCCAGGGCGTGCCATGTCTTGCCGTCGTCGGCAGAGCCTTCCAGAATCACTTCTGGCCGCGCCACAATTGCAAACTCGTTGACAAACGTGCCAGGAATCGTGACTTTTTGGATGCCCGTGGCTTTTTTCATACTCCCGTACGCGGACGAGACACGCAGACGCGACGCGACCACCGACGCGGTCTTTATCACGTCTGGCAACGTGTCGGAACACCCAGGGTGCAATTGGGCTACTGGCATGACCAGACCACCAAATACAAGCAGACCAATGACACTGAAGAGCGCGCAATGGCCCGACGCAAACGCCCCGCCGATGCGAAAATGCATCAAGTCCACACATCCAGCATACAGCAACCGCAGGTTTTGCCATACGGCGGCGACGGCGGCCACCCCGAGGGCGCCCCATACCACCCCAGGCACAATGTACTTGAGCGCTTGTTGGGTTTGACCGACACGGAATGCGTATCGAAGACCCGTGGGCTGGTTGTTTTCGTACACGACTTCAAACATCGAGTACGTTGTGATCGTGAGCCCCAAGAAGCCAACCGCAATCGCAGTATACTGCACCGACTTGAATCGGTCCGTCTGTGGGTCGGTGGCCGCAGGCAAGACAGTGTACGCCAATGCAATCGCCAACGCGTTGGAGAAACCATAGTTGCCAGTGAACAAGCTTGAAATGTGTAGCGCAAGGTTGAGGTAGAACACTGGGTAGCGGTGCCACGCCGACGGCGACAGACTGAGCAAGACCAACGGCCCTTGAATGTACAGGGAGGCAGCTGCAAACACGCTGTGCACACCCGGCTACAAGTTGAGCCATCATCAGTGCTAAGTCATATGTAAAACACATCAATCTGTCATAGGCACGTACCGAAAGTTGGTGAGCGTACCAGCTGAGCGGGTTTGGAAGTTCTTGGGTTGCAAAGTGGTAGTCGAGCGCGGTGAGGCCCAGCCACGTGGGACACCCCGAGAGGATCTTGGACACGCTGGTCATGAAGCTGAACTTGACAAAGACGAAGCGGAGCGCCCACAGAACGATCTGAGGTGGCTCAAACAAACTCGAGTTGCCAAACGGTGGGGCCAACCAAATGGCCAAGAATCCGACTTCCAAAAGCAAAGAGTCCCACTGAAAACGAGTGAACGAGCCACCCATCAAAATGACAGATAGATACGACAGCCACATCGCTCCAAATGTTTCCGGGGCGATGAGGATGTTTGCGGCGGCCAAAGTCCCCAAGGCCATCCCCCCCAAACAGAGCAGTTCCATTGCCAGGTCAGGCGTCAAGCCGACACTGTCGTGAAACCACACAAGGCTTGGCACGTGGGCAAACCTGTTTAACGGATGGTCTCCCAAATCTTGCAGAAGTTTCGCCATGAACGGAGCTACAGGCTCTAGCCCATCCCTGGAAGAAAAATGAGATACAGATTGCTTGCGTCAAAGAATGGTTGGTGAGTCGTACGGTCCAAAGAGGCTTTGCACTTGGCTGTACAAAGAGCAAAACGCAATAGCGTAGATAAGGCCCAAGGCTTGCAGGAACACAGTCGACCGAAAGGTCACCATCGTTTCCGACTTGCTTTCCAGTCAACAACTCAAGTTTCGAAATGACCTTTCGAGTGTAGCGTAGTCAATCCAAAATCGAACAACCAGAGTCGAATATTCCGGATATGAAATTCAAATGATCCGGAATTTTCGCGAGTGTGGGAAATATTGGTTTTGTGAGGTTGAGTGAATTCCGTCCAATAACTTATCGATGGGAGTCCCGAGCCGCGCGACCGCTGCGAAGGGGGCTACTCTCGACCATGAGGAGCTAGAAGCGCTCAGCCAAAGCCACAAGGTGCTAGAGCAAGCGTACTCTGTGGACAGCAAGTCGCCTGACCTCGTGGATCAAATTGCCGACCACTCTGAACCAACGTCACACAATTACTTTTTCGAACCGTACACGAACACGGCCGCTGGGTGGCAGGCGCAGCTCGTGCACAAGCAAAAGCTGCTGCCATACCCTGCAGCCATAACGAGCGCATACGACAACATGCGTTCAGGGTCGTTCTCGGGTTTGCTCCAGGAGATCCATCACGCTTGGGTGTCCGTGGACAACGTGTTGTTCCTGTGGGACTACACGCGCGCGGAGCGTTTCGTCGTGTTCGACGGCATCGACCAGACGATCTCGGCCGTGGCGATTGCCAAGCCCATTCCTGGCGTGTTCAAGGCCTTCGTGAAGCATGTGCTGGTCGTGGCCACTGCGAGCGACATGCGGCTCGTGCCCATCTTGTACGAGCACAGCGACCCCGTTAACGGCGCGATTCGACTACAAGCGACCAAACTATGCATCAGCACGGACGACGTCACGGTCAAGAAGATTGTGAGCACGGCAGGCGGCCGCATCTTCTTTGGCGGGTCGGACGGCCACCTCCACGAGTTTGTGTACGACGCGACCGAAGGCATGTTGCACCAGCTCGGGTGGAAGCGAAAATGCCGCAAGGAGACACACACACAGTCACTATCAACGTACATCCCGTCCATCTTTCGATCGCTCACGGGCGCCTTGGCCTCGTCTCACGGCAAAATCGTCGACTTGACCATCGATCCCGAACGCCACATCCTGTACGTGACACAAGAACCTGCCACGATTCACGTGTACGACCTCCTTCCACCCGGGGAGCTCAAGCTCGTGGCCTCCAAGGACATCCACGCCGAAGCCGCGCGGTTCTGCCAGCGCAACCATCGCACGTGGACGTCATGCCCCGAGCCGAGACTGTTCACGACTAACATGACTACGATCTCGTCCGTGTCGGTCGTCGGGCGCGACGAAAGCGCGTCGATTCATGCGGTGGCCGTGAGTTCCACCGGCATCCGGTTCTACCTGTCGACGTTTACGCCGGGGTACTTTTCCAGCTCGTCCAAGCGGCCGACGCACTTGGACATGAGCCACATCCGCCTGCCGCCGCCCATGCTGGCTCTGGACGACGCGCCAGAGTACCATGTGACGGAAGGACTGGCGCCCGCCATCCTCACGGGCAAAAGCCCGGCGTATGTGCACAAGGCGCTGTACCGCAAGGGGGTGTTTATCGCGATCGACGGCGGCCCCGATGCTTTCGACTCGGTCGTCGGCTTGTGTCAGGACCTGACGGCGCGACACACGCAGGACGCATCTAACAAGCGACTCATGCGCGAATCCATTTCGTCTGAAAGCTGCCAGGGCAAGGTCAGTGACGTCCAGGAGCTGGCCCGACAAGCCTCTGCGGTGCACACGGCGCCGGCATCTGCCTCGTCTGGCACGAAACGAACGTTCTCCGACATGCAAGCTAGTTCGTCAGCTAGTTCGTCGACAGAAGAGCCACCGCCGGCCATGCTGAGCGAACTCGTGACGCAGTTCTTCGAGCCATCACGGCATTTCCTTGTGCTCACGAACGCCGGCCTCCACATCTTTGAGAAAATCCGACCCATCGACCACCTCGTGCGTATCTTGCAAGGGTCGCCTATCCCTGGGAAAGACCTTTCGGCCAAGTTGACCCAGTTTGTCAAGTGCTACGGCCGCGCAGAAACGTGCGCCATGCTCTTTGTTGTGGCGACGGGGGAACCTAGTCCGTACACGATGGCGGCGCTGCAGTCGGTGTTTGACTTTGGCGGCCAGCCGGGCGTCGCGCCGTCGGGTGGCACCCCCCCATCGGGAGGTGGCAGCAATACTACCGCTGGCGCAACCAACCGCTTTGTTCTCACAGACGACATGTGCATGTCGTACCACCACGACGGCCTCGTCAAGTTCCTCGCACGCATTCTGCGGCCGTTCTGGACCACAACCGATCACGTTGTCGCAGATGCACTAGATCACGTGCGTGTGGTGTTGTTCCGCCTCCAGTCGATCCTGGCCACACAATACGCCTCGGCCCTTGACCATCCGCTGACGTTGGCGGAACCATCGCGCTTCAACGCAATCACCCGCACACTCAATGCCATGTTGACCGAAGCGAATCCATCGTCGTTACGTGAAGAGAACGCGGTGCGGGCCGAGCAGTTTTCGATCCGATGTTTATATCGGTTTACCGTCCGGGCGCTGGAAGCCACGAGTTTGCTCGTCGCCCAACCCCACACGACGACCCTGTCGTTGGCGTTGCCGGAGCTCGTCACGACGACGGCAGGCGCGGCAGCATGCAAAGTGCTCATCCAAAAGCTCATGGCGGACGCGGGGCACAGCGAGGATCTGGTGCATCAGCTGCGCGACGAGTGCCCGCTGCTGTTTACCGACACGGATGCCGCTGAATGCCACGGGTTCCAAGCGCTCGACGCGGCGGCGACGTGTGTGACGGCCCATGACCAGCAGGTAGTGCTAGCCAAAGCCCTCGAGCATTTCCGGCTGGCGAGTCAATCGTGGACCACCGAAGCCCAGCTATCGGTGCTCGAATCCATCTGCCAAGCATTCTTTGGCCTGGGATACCTCGATGGCATTGTTGAGCTGAGCTTGGCATGCGCGCGCCAGCTGACCAAGCCAGACGTGGCGCCGCTACGACGCATGGCGTACAGCGGCGTTGTGCAGGCGATCCAGTACTTGACCCAGAACGACACAGAGCTTCCGATTTGTGGTGCCACGAGTACGACCTTGTGGACAGACCAGGAAGAACGCGAAGCAGCCATTGGGCGCATACTTGGTCGCGTGCTGGCGTCGTCCGACACGCAGCTGCACTTGATTGTGCTGACGTGGCTGTACGACCACGACCAGAAGAAGCGTCTCGTGACGCTCAAAGGGCCCCGCGTCGAAGCGTTCCTCCAAGCCAAAGACCCAGAGCTACTTGTCAGCCAATACCTCGTCCAAGAGCGGTATGTGGATGCCGCCCATGTGCTGTGGACACGGGCTCAAGACGACCATCGCGCCGTCGACGAACGCGTGGCACTCATGTCTCGAGCGGCGAGCGTGTTGGCGGCGGCGCAGCATCCGGCCGCGCTGAATGCGTTGGCTGAAGTGCGCGAGTCGCTCGATGTGTTGCAACTGCAGGTGCGTCAAACCTGTGATTGGGGTTGACGATGGTGGACCTGACAGTTGAGATATATATTTGTAGCACACCATTTGGAAAACGTTACAGACCCGACAGACCGTCCCAGCATCCGAGTTGCAGGTGCGTTGGATGCTGCATTCCCTTGTCGCATGATCGTTGCTCTTGATCACCGACATTACACCATGTCACAGAGTGACAACTTTGTATGCGTTGTTGGAATGCGTGGTATGTGATGGTGTTTTTGATTGGCTTACCTTGTGGGATATATATATATATATATTGTCCTTTTACCCAAAATGTGGACTGTTGTGCGGATTCACCAACTCTATCGATTCGTTGTACGGACTTTTGTATGTAACAATCATCCAGTTTTTTTCACACTAATTGAAGCCACACACTAATGCGATGTTGCATTCGTCGAAGAGTGGATGATTTGATTGGGTACTTGATTTGTGTTGTGGGTTTTGATTGGTCGTATATCGATTGTCTGCCGATTTGGTTCGTCTGCTCATTCGATTGAGCTCCACCTGACTCGTATTTCGAATCGAAATATATGATAATATATAAATATATATATAGGCATTACAATTCCGCGTCGTGGATGTCTCGACATTATACAACCAGTACGCGTCCAAATACAAGCTGTGGGGAGACTGTTTGCGGATCATTCGATGCTGCCATACCGAGGTACGTCGTCGTCCATTTACCTGGTCGTGCCGAGTTGCTCTAGACTGTTTCGCCTCTAGCTTCAAGCAGGATGGTTAAATAGTTTACTTGATTAATATATGTTGCAGGATGCTAGCACTGTGCAGCACTTGTGGGAGCAACTACTGTTCTCAGTCGTGCCGAAATCTGCCAACAACGTAAGCTTCAACCAGTGGATTGCCACCAAACACCCCGAACAAGATGCCCCTACCACCACCGCCAACTCCCCCTCATCCTCCCCCCAAGTGTTTGAAAGCGCAGTGTGGATCAGCCACGTACAGTCGCAACTGACGCCACTGGGAAAGGAACTCGCGTCGTCCCCCGCGCTCCCCGTTGAGTTTCTTGTCCATGAACTGGAGCACCTGTGGATGTGGTTTATCCAGCTCACGCACTACTCGACGCCCCAGTCGTGGATCTCGTCGTTTTTGCTCGACTGCGGCGTCTCATATGCGCACTTGTTTGGGGTGTACCACAAGCTGTACGATGCCAACGAAGCCCCCCGATGGCGCTTTCACCTCCTTCGCGGCATCCTGGACCTCGTGACTGCGTGGCAGCGCCACGTCCAAGCCGCGCGACCGACCAGCGAGGCCGCGCTCGAGTTTGCCACGGCCACGCCGCTCATGCTCAGTGCATGTGAGGCGTACGTCGTCGACTTGCATGCGCTTGTCGGAGGTGTGTATGCATGCATTGTATATGTATATGGGTTTTTGCTTGTGAGAGATTGTAGGGCGATCTAGTTTGTGTAGCTAATCGTCTGACGTTGATGTTGGTGATGTGCCTATTTTGTTGGATCTGTGACATGGTGCGACTGTTACTACATACATTCCCATATTGAATCGGGACGTTACTACATACATTCCCAGATTGAATTGGGACGGGCAGGCGCATCTTTTGTATGTCTTGGCTTCGAATATACATACACGGCAGTCTTATTCGTTGATCCTTGTTTGACATGTTTGTCGAGTAGTGGGGTTGGTTGAGTATATCTGTATGTTGTGACGGCATGATATATATATATGCAACCATTGTTATATATATATATATATATGGTGACGGGGTGATGTCGTTCGTGTAGATGGCCATGCAGAGAAGCACCAGACAATTGCCCGGTTGCGACAACTCAAAGCGGACGTGGCCACCACGAGATCCAAGTATACGTAAATAAAAATACTAGCAGATCCAAGTATACGTAAATATTACTTGAAGTAATACTACAAGTAGATCCAAGTATACGTAAATATTAATACTAGTTACACAGAGCCGCCACGGCAACTTGCGTTCGTTCCATGTGTGACAGACACGCTCACGGCATTACGTTGCTGATGCAAGTACCATATGCATCTACTACTGTCGTGTGGGAGTAACAAGTCACGGAGACGCCGAAGCCGTCGCCCCACCCCCTGAGGTCGGCGTCTCCCTCTTCGACCCCCGTCCACCGCCTCCTTTGGACGACACCTTGCGCAGCATCTTGGATGGCTTGAGGGTCGTCAAGGTGGCGCTGCTGTTGCCCATGTCACTGGCATTACTGCACACGTCGCTCCAGTCGCTAGTAGTAGTAGTGTAGTTCCCCGAGGGTTTTCGCTTGCTTTGGAGGGCTAGTCGGGCCTCGGCATCTCGTAGTTGCTGGTGGAGTTTATTGTTTTCGTCCTTGAGTTGCTGCACATACTTTATCTTTTGACCGGGGTTGGTATGACCAGCCAGCGTCGCGTTCTCCTTCCACGCTTTCTGCGCAGACAGCAGCGCTGAGTCGCGCTCCTGGCGAAGATGGTCTCGCTCTAGGGTGACTTCTTCGAGGCGAATGTGAAGGGTGTCGAGGTCGATCGCGTTGTCCTTGGCGAGCTGCACGAGCCGCGCGACTTCAGCGTCGCCGAGCTTCGTATGCGACGATGACGCATCTTCTTCGGGGTCGTCCGTGTCGGTATGCTGTTGCTCTTGTAACAATGCGCATTCGGCCTGAAGTTTTTCGTTTTCAGATCGCAGCAGCTGACTTGCTTCAGTCTGGAGCGCTACCTGTTGTTGCAACGACTGGATTTGGTCCATGAGCTCGTCGAACTCGCGCCGCTCCTTGGATTCGCCATCGTCTGTGCCTTCGTCGTCAAAACCGTCAGCGGTTGACGGCGCGCTGCCGCCACCACCGAGGCAGTCGTGGCACAGGCGCTCAGGCTCGTAGCACTCGCGCGTCGCTGCCAGCGTGTACACGAGGACTTCCATATCTCGCTGGACTTTCTCGAGCTGCTTGCGCATAAGAACCACCTCAGGCGTGCTCGTCTGCCGCGCCAGGTCCGCTTGCATTGTTGACAGCGGTGGGACAGATGCCATCGACGAAAATGGAGATTTTTGGGTAGAGCCGCTGGCACTTCGAGTTGTGTGCTGCTTATCCCACGGTAGAAAATATTCGAAGCCGATACAAAGATCAAGACGAATTAGAAATTTCGAATAAAAGTGTTGCTAGAAAGTACCGTGTTTTAGTTCTTATAACGGAGGGTTTGTGAAACCCCTCGAGGTCAACAGTGGGGTGTAAATGTTGGTTGGCACCGTTTGACCGCCATATCGGTTTTGATAATTATGTCCGTGTCGATAAACATTCATATGGTGTATCATACCTCTGGTTACAGTATTCATAGCCGAGCCAACCTCATCTACCTACATCTTGGGTTGTTGCTGTCGGTGTACAGTATCTATTCGTGGCAAAAAGGTGGTTACGAAACTACGAAACCCAAAGTCCAGGCGACAGCACGTGCCACCGGTACAGCATCCTCATCACCGCGTTGTGTGCTCTCGCCGCTTCCACCAGTCCCTCACAGTCTGGTCGTGTCGTAGGCGAAGTGCGTTGGCCGTTCCGAACAGCACACGGTTGTTCGCGACGCTTGGTGGTGTGCCCATTCAACCATGGACGAACTGCAGGATGCCATTCAGGATGCGCAGTACATCGGGGCGATGGCTGACCCGAGGCCGCGGCCGACCGTGCCGTTCCATCAACCAGCGCCACAAGAATTGACCGATTTCACCGACAACTTCGCGAGCCACCATTGGCCGACGATGGAGTCGTATTTATCCCAGCCCCTGGGCCTGTATCTGTTTCGCCGCTACTGCGAAGCCGAAGCCCATGGCATTGAAAAGCTTTTCTTTCTACAGGATGTATACGCGTACCGCCGCATTCCACAGCACAATCGACGGGTGCTTAAGGCCAAGGTGAAGCATACTTGCGATTCAGCTGCCATCTTTATTTCCCCTGGCACGACTGAACGGTTTCTGGTGATACCATGCGTAGGCCATCTATGCCACGTACATCAACCCACAGCAGTCAGCTACGATCTCTTCAGTTACGCAACCACCACCCCACCACACCACCCCCCAAGCAGCTGGAGCGAGCTCTGCCGCCGCCACTGCGACCACACCTGCCAGGACACATCCCCTTCTAGCATCGACCAAGAATCCCGGGGAGACCAACTACGCGTGGAAGCGCGAGTCGTCCATCTCTATGACTACTGCCAAGGAACTGTATTGTACATTCAAGTGCGAGGCTGCCCTCCTCGGCGTGCGCGGCGACCTCACCGAAGAAATCGGCAAGCAGTTAGAAGACGTCAACCTGCAGTCGGGCACGTCGATGCTGCCGCTGACGCTGTTTGACGAGCTCGAAGCGTGCGTCGTGAGTGCTTTGGAGCACCACCAAATGGAAGGATTCAAAGCAAGCTTGTTCTTCAAACGCTTCATGCACTTTTTGTACATTCAGCAGCGCGAGATCGGCGAAGACGACTTTAGTCTGCTGCGGGTGCTCGGGCGCGGGGGGTTTGGGATGGTCAACGGCGCCATCAAGCGCAGTACTGGTAAGATCCTCGTCGTGTAATGTTGCATCCACTATGTTTGGAATGTAAGGTTGGTTGTACGTATATCACTTGTGTAATGTAAAATGTACAGTTTCGTCGTTGGAGTTAGCAATGTATGGCCGATTTTTTCCGAATAATCGCCGGACCTGCGAAATATGATTTTATAAAGTGATTACAACATTCACACTTTTAGCCACTCGTACTGCTTTGCTGGATTTGTTGGTGATGGACTAAAATACATTTCAAATTGGTTGAAAGCTCGATATCTAGAAGTATATGATACTTTTTATACATGCGCGACCACGCCTTACCGTAGCAGTACAGCCCCCGTCGCACCTCTCATCCTGACATGTATATAGGTAAATTGTACGCGATGAAAGCCATGAACAAACGTATCATCAAGAAAAAGCACGCGGAGAAGCTGTGTCTGGCCGAACGCGCCATCTTGACCATGCTCAGCTCGCCCTTTGTCGTGTGCCTCAAGTACGCGTTCCAAACCAAGGAGGATTTGTTTCTTGTGCTGGACCTGCGCACGGGTGGCGACCTCAGCTTTCACTTGAACCGAGGCCGGTAACTACTTGTGGACATCGCCCGTACCGCGTCTTTCTCGTTTCCGACATGGATTCCCGTGATTTGGGTTGTCATATATATACGGTAGGTTCACGGAAGAACAAGTCATGTACTGGTCGGCCCAGATCCTCTTGGGACTACAGCACTTGCACGAAAAGAACATTGTGTACCGCGATTTGAAACCGGAAAACATCCTCCTCGACGACAAAGGCAACTGCAGCATCTCCGACTTGGGGCTGGCCGTCGAAGTCACCCCGTCGCTGTGTGGCCGCTGCGGCACCCGAGGCTGTACGTGTGTGTGTGTTTTTGCATTGAAAAAGCAGCATATATATTGATTGTGCTTTGAGCCAACATTTGAATATTTGCCGTGATTCACCACATCTATTGGTCGATTTTTTTCGTACTGAATTTTGCATGGAACATTTACACGAGTATTTGAAATGATCACCACATTATTCGATGGTTGATTGGCCACTTGATTCGTGTTCTGGCTTTGGATTGGTTTTTTCAATCGATTGCCAGTCGATTTTTAGTTTCACTTCAATTGAGCATTTTCATCCCACGATCCTCCGAATCGACTTGACAATATGACTGTACGTACTGTTTAGATTGGGCGCCAGAAATGCTATTGCGAGACGAAGCAGGCAACCGACTGTGCTACAACCAAGCCGTCGACTGGTGGAGCTACGGGTGTGTCGTGTACGAAATGCTCTATGGCAAGTGTCCATTCCGAACGTCCAAAGCCAAAGCCTTGCACGCGGACAAGGTATGTATTATGTATACACAAATCAATTTATATATATATCCATATTGCTATATATCCATATTGCCGCAAATGTAGCAAAAAGCATACGATATGGCCACGTTGGAACTCACGCCGTCGTACGATGCCAAGTACTTTTCCCCCGAAGCCACCGACTTGCTGCAAAGTACGTTGCTTACTCGATCAGGTTGAATATTTTGCAACATGGAGTTCTGTGATACGCCGCCCACCCACGTTGGCCATCATCTTTCTATGGACGGTATTAGTCGAAGTTTTAGAATTTGTCCTTTTAGCCAAATATTGGACTTTTGTGCTGATTCTTTGCCAAATCTATCGATCGATTGGTCGAAGAGTGAAATTGATTGGCCACTTGATTCGTGTTCTGTGTTTTGATTGGTCGATCTTTGATTGTCTGCCGATTTCGATTGGGCACCAACCACTCCAATTTTGAATCGACTTGACAATATGTAGAGCTGTTGGTTCGGGATCCGACCAAGCGGCTGGGGGCGCGGGGCGCGGACGAGGTGAAAAAGATGAAGTTTTTTGAAAACGTCGATTGGGTCGAGATGGAAAACATGGCTGTGCCGCCGCCGTTCGTGCCCGAGCGCGACATCAACGCTGCGTCGCAGGCCGACATTGGCTTCTTCGACCCTTCCGTGATTCAGGTACATACGAGTTAGACATGCACTTGTGAAAATAAACGGCAAATGTTCATGAGTTCGATGGATCGATCGATGGACATAGGGAGTCAAGTTGTCGGACACGGACCAAGACATGTACAAGGACTGGCTGTTTTGTAGCGCCACGGCGTTCCAGCACGAGATTGTCGAGTTTATGGAGTGGGAGGTCAAGCAAGGGCCGATTACGCTGGTCACGCACACCAACACGTGCTGCAATGTGTCGTAGGCATCGACTATACGGCTAGCGCATCCTAATTTATACAAGTGACTCGAATGCTTGGCCAATAATCTCCGTGTTAGAGTATCTCTCCAATCGTGTTTTTGTTTCTACTCCATAATCCAGAACTTCGATTGTTCCCCCCGGTTTCCCCGGATCGAACCGACGACCTTTGAGTTACGAAACCGATGCTCTACTACTACTGAGCCATTTTCCCTCCCCTTTTAGGAATGACGATTTGGGATGCGGTCGAGATTGGTAATGTTTAATGACATGGCCCATTTTAACAGAACATTATGGAAAGTAACGGAACAGTAATGATGAATCGTGTTAGGGTTTACCTTGGGGTAAAAGGGGGTTATTTGGGATTCCGATGGGGTTCAGGTTTTTTGAGAACCACTTAAAGTCTTTTGGTAATGAAATGGCCCAGTTGAAGTGTAAGGTTTTCGTTCATTCTTGGGCCTGTACATTGTGCTTCAACATGTGGCGGGCGACATGAGATACGACTGTCAATTTGTTTACGGATACTATTAGTTATTGTGATTACTACGTCTGTTACTACATACTACTCTGATCCGAAACGTTTGTCAGGTAGTTTTTCATTTGATTAAAGTATGTGCCATGGCTTTCGAACAACTTGATTTTTGTATGCAACTCCAAGACAACATATTCAAGGCACAAAATTTAATGTATTTTTTTAAGGTTATGCCGACTACTCAATCAAGAGAATTCACCAACGCTTCCATGGTGGACTCCTCGCCCAGACGCTCATGCAAATGAGTTAACGCACTCTCGTAGCAAGATGCATCGAACTCAACATTGTACGATGCAAAGTCAGCAATTGAAGCATCCTTTCTCATATGAGGAAGTTTGTAATCATTGCTTCCAAGCATTTCAATGGACATTTCCAAAACCTTTTGAAGTGTTATGAATGTCTTTGCAACTGTATCTGCCGGTAACTCATAAAACGCACTTTCTACAGCACCAATAAGCTCCTCGATTGAACGAGTTGCCTTTTGGTGCTGAAGACTTTGAATAGAATTTAAAAAAACCTAAATCTAAGACATTAAAGTCTGAACTGTTGGGGGGCTGATTTGCTACAACAATCCCACGCACACCTTTGGCTTGAAGCAGCTCTGTCGTAACGCAACGGTGAGGGCTGGCGTTGTCTTGTTGGAGGAACACGTTACCGCGCCGCACACCACCAGGAAACTAAGCCATAATGGTAGCGACGACCTTGTTCAGAACGACGTCAAAATACACAGTACTGTCCACGGCTCGAGGAACAGTGACAAGGGTGCCCTTGGGGCGGCTCTTGCTTCCA